TTCATGAACATTTTCATGCTTTCTTTAGTTCATGAAAGCAATCCTCCATCAAGAAATAGAGATTGTTTTGGACGACACTTAGGATTTGTTTGACATGACTTTTAAAAAAATCAAAATGAGTTTTTGAGACAAAAAAATAGCTTTTTGACTCATTTGATTATTATATGATAGTGTTTCTTCTAATTCAAGAGCTTTTATAGAAAGTTGGTCCAATGTGGCTTTCTTTAAAAGTATTACCGGAATCGAAAGTGTTTTTAAAAATTGATTTTCAAACAAAAATTAAGATAGATTCCTCTAAAAGCTTTTCTACACGCAAAGGCCATTGCAAACGGACATTTATGTCTTTAAAGAATATTTAGAGTATAACATGGAGAAATGTTGTTTGGAAACATAAAAAGTTTCTAATAAGTTGAGATCAAAAGTTACCAATTAATTTTAATAAAATATTTATGGGACACCCAATTTTTATCAACTTTTTTAATTACAAATTTTATTTTTTATCTGCATAAATTTTTATTTTTATCGCTTGTTGGCTCCACCAGAATCTACTGTCGTCGTCAGAAAGCTAGTCGGCCAGGAAGAAGCTTGAAACCTAAACTGGTGGAGGAACAAGGAAGATGAAAGCCATAAGAAGATTGGGCCATTTTTTTATTCAATTTTTTTGGGCCTCTTCTTTTGGATCTAATGTCTGAAAAAAAGAAAGAGAAAAAGAAAAAGAAAAAGAAAAAGAAAAAGAATTAGGCCTAAATACAATCAGGATGCTACAATTGGAATTCATATAAATCCATTTGACCTAAATTCCTAATCCAACTCACAAATTGTTCGGCTATTCCAATTTGCAATTTTCAAACCGGTGACTGAGCTTTCTTCTGTCCTCCTACTGCCCTATCACTCTGCACAGTGCACTCGCCACTAGCGCTCAACCTTTGTCTTGTTGCCGGTTGCCATCTTTACAGTGACTTGTATGTCATGAGCTTCTTCTTTTTGTTCTCTTAATTTATTTTTTGATTTATCATTTATGAGTTATGATTTTACAATAAAGGCTTCATGTATGCTCTATGGAGGAATCCAATTTCTTGATGATGATATTTTTTTTTTATGTTAATTTCTTAAGAAAATAGAAATTCCTTCTATTGGACAATTTGGAAATTTTGGAACCAAATTTTGTATAGCTTTTGAATATAAATGAAACACATTACTAATGGGTAGAACTTAGATTTTTCAAAGGGAATCTTTCTTTTTCAGAATTGGATCCAAAACTTTGGTTATTCTTAGAGTCTAGCGTCCTGGAATATTCTGTTCGGACACTCTCTATTTGTATTTTCTATTTATTAAGAATGAACAAAAGTTGAAATCTTGTACATTATACTTGAAATCTGTCCTTGGCTAATTGAAAATATATTCCAATGTTTCATAGTAGCTATTGAAAAAATAATGATGGTGCGAACAATTTCTAATAATAAATCGAAAATATAGTAATATGCACAATCATGTTTAATAAACGATGTCGTTATTACGACCATTGCCGATCGACGATTGATGGTCAACAACCACTCTAGCTAGATCCAATTCCTAGATTCACCACCTGTCGTGGATATGGGAATTTCAAGATTCCAAGGTGAATGCGAGTCTTGTTGTCGAATATAAATAAAGGTGAATGATGTTCGATTCATACGACTATACTAGTTTAATTTTTTTTTCTTTTGCAATACTTATATAATAATAAATAAAGTGTACCTAGGATATATAATTCAATGAAGTAGATTCATTTATTTCTATTTTGCGGGTATAATTTTTACCTTTACGTGTATCAAATTCAGTGAAGAACTCTTTGATATGATTGAAATTAATTAAATAAGATGAGAGGTGCTCAATAATTTTTGATAATTGTATATATTCCTCTAACAAATAGCCAAGAGGTACCACAAAAAGTGATTTTGGATTTTTTTTCCTATCCCCAAAAGAGTAAAAAATATAAAAAATAATATGTTAAAATCAAGTGAAAATTACGCAGCCACAATTACTTAAGGATCACATTTCATATTCCAGGGTTGAAGTTTATTTGTGCAGTTTTCAGGTTTGAAGTATTTAACCACCCACCTCACTACAAAACCTAATCCCCATCCCCGTATCTCTCAACTGTCTTCTCCCAATTCTCAACAGTAGCGCCACCCTAGAAGACGTTCTTCGGCGCAACGGTGTCACCACCATCTCGTCACTGACACTACCACCACCTCGCTGTCGTTGAACGGTGGTTGGTCATCCCCATCCCCGTATCTATTATCTTCTCCCAATTCTCAACAACAGTAGCAGCGTGCCCTGGAAGAAAGTCTCCTACGCACAACGTCACCACCATCTCGCCGCCGCTGCGTAGCAACGTTACCGACGTCGTAGAATGATTTTGGGTTGTTTGGGACAAATAGTTGTTTAGATCTGAGATGGGATCTGTGTTTTTGTTTTGAATGTGACGGATCTGGTGGTGAATTGGAGGCGACTATTGTGGTTGATGGGTGGCGATGGTGGTGAAATGAGAGTTGGGAGTTTAGCATCTGGATTGGGGAGACGGTAGTGGACTGATGGTGACGACAAGGATGGAGATGGTGAGGTGGTGCTATTTACGATAGCCATGAATGAATGTTGGTTGGAAATGGTGATTGTGGTGGTGGTAGTGGAGATGGCGAAGTGGTGATGGCTTTTGTAGGATGTTAGCGATTCTGTATCCGTTTTTTTGTAGTGAGGTGATGCTAGTTGCGTTGTTTGAGATGATGGGGCTATCAGAGCTGGTGGTGGTTTTGGATGCGATGCGACTGGTGGTAGTGGTGAGGTGATGGTCACAGATGATTTGATTGTTTGTGACCAAGAAATTGACGTATGTGACCAATCATTTAGTTATATGTGACTAACTATTTAGCGTGATCTAAAATTTAATAATTTGTGACCAAGTAATTTGGACTCGAAATAATCTGTGACCCATAAATTTTTGACTTTTGACTTTAAAATAAACTGTGACCTACAAAAATTTTGATTTGCAACCTCGAAAAACTTTGTGACCAATTAATTTAATGATATGTAATCAGTAAATAAATTTGTGACCTATAAATTTGAATATGTAACCATTAATCATGTAACTGTGACTTTGTTATCATTATTTAATAAATATTTTTGATTAGTTAATTAAAACCTGATTTTAGTATTAATGAAACTTGTAATTTGAATTTTGAATTATGCATAGTTAAAACCTGATTTATGAACTCTTCCCTAAAATCAAATGTAAGGAAAATAGAAGGTGTTACATATGTAAAATTGCATATTTTCTAGTGCTATAAGTGTCAATTTTAGGTTGTCAATATGTGTGATTGATAGGTATATATTGTCACTATTTGAAAGGAATTTTGTGCTGCATGCAGCTTCAAGTTGTCAGTTTTCTATACATACAACAAAGTTCATGTGAAAGAAAAGAAGAGATAATCGAACAAATGAATCTGGCACATAAATTAAGCATCGATCAATTTCAAGTCAGTCCTTATTGACTCCCCTGTCCATGGCATTGTGAAGTGAAATTGTGAAAGAAGCTTTCAATCTTTGCTTTTGATTAAATCCTTTTATCAGGTGAATGCAAGTCTTATTGTCGAATATAAATAAAGGCGAATGATGTTCGATCCATACAAGTTAAATTTTTTTTTTCTTTTGCAGTACTTATATATTAATAAAGTGTACCAATGATATATAATTCAATGAGGTGGATTCATTTATTTCCATTATGCGGGTATAATTTTTACCTCTATATGAATCAAATTCAGTGAAGAACTCTTTGATTAGATTGAAATTGCTTAAATAAGAGGAGAGGTGCTCAAGCGATGCTCAATAATTTTTTGATAATTGTCTATATTCCTCCGACACATGGGCAAGAGGTACCATGAAAAGTGATTTTGGATTTTTTTCTATCCAAAAAACCAAAAAGATCAAAAAAATAAAAATCAAAATAAAAAAGAATACGTTAAAATCAAAAGTTAGGAAAACAAAAGGTGTTACATATGTAAAATTGCACATTTCTAGTGCTATATGTGTCAATTTTTGGTTGTCACTATAAAGGAGTTTTGCTATTTGAAAGAAAAGAAGAGATGATCGACCAATGAATCTGGACATAAATTAGGCATCGATCAGTTCCAAGCCAGTCCCTGTTGACTCCCCTGTCCACAGCACTGTGAAGTGAAATTGTGAAAGAGACAGCAATCTTTGGTTTCGATTAGATCCTTTTATCAGGCACCCAGTTCGATTGGTAATTCATCAGATCCCATGGCTCAGCAAGAAGCAATCGCCACCAATCCCCGCCGCATCAAAATCATAGCCGGAGCTGACGCATTCGGCTGCAATTTGAAAGACTCTCTTGTAACACACTTGCGTTCTCTCAACATCGAAGTGGAAGACCTCGGAACTGATAAATACTATTCCGTCGGCGAAGAAATCGGACGCCGTGTCAGCCAGGGCAACACCGATGATTCGGTTGAGATCCGTGGCCTAGTAGCTTGTGGCACCGGCGTGGGTGTTGGCATCTTCGCTAACAAGTTCCCAGGTGTATATTCCGCCACCTGCCTCACCCCTGCTGACGCCCTTAATGCCCGGTCCATCAATAATTGTAATGTTCTAGCAGTGTCTGGTATGTCTACTGCCCCTGAAGTTGCTCTAGATATTCTAAACACTTTTCTCAACACCCCTTTTAAGGCTCCATGCCCCGCTTCCGGTTCCAATCCCTGGCCAGAAGATATCCAGTCCTTCTTGGACACTTCTGTTCAAGAAATGTCTGAAATTGGGAAAACTAAAACTGGGAGCAATACTGATGGTATTATTGATCCTCCGTGTTTTATTTGCTCCCTGGCGAAAAGCAGGAATCACAAGGAGTTTACGCCCGTTGAAATAATGCCTGGTGCGTCTATGAAAATTTTGAGGGAGACTCCTACATCGGCCATTGTGAGGTTTAAGGCCGGCAGCCTGGAACCTGCCCATCATCATACTTTTGGGCATGATTTGGTGGTTATAAGCGGGAGTAAATGTGTGTGGAACTTGACGAAAGGCGAGAAATATGAATTGGGGGTGGGAGATTATTTGTTTACGCCAGCTGGAGATGTGCACAGAGTGAAGTATTTTGAGGATACTGAGTTCTTTATTAAGTGGGATGGACATTGGGATTTGTTCTTGGATGAGGATCTTGATGCTGCCAATGCTGCTATAGAGAAAGAGAAACAGAAGTAATTACTAGTTGGTATGGTATGTATCATACTTGTGTAAGGGGGCTTTAATAAATCACTGTTAGAAGTCTTTAAGTTGCCTGTGATTTGGGGAAATTATATCAGAATGTATTGATATCTCAGGGCTTTTGTGTATTTTAAACTAAATATATGTATGTACACTTGCTTGGGTGTGTGGATGCCTATGAGTAACCAAGAGTTGAGGCTTGTGGAGTTCCTGTAGATGCTCATGTCTGTCTCTCTTTTGCACTTGCTATACACTGAGTGGTTATCTCTCAGAAAGATTCCAGCTTCTTCTTCAGATATTTAATCTGTGAATTATTGCATTTTGTTGAAACTAAATTAACTCGAGTGTAGATGGTTTTATCAGTTTGTGATCATAGTCTCTCTCTCTCTTCCCCCCCCTCCCCCCCCCCCCCCCCCCCCCCTCAAATTTATTCCTTGAAAACAATGTGCTTTGAATGATATGAAATTTATGTATACACACGCATGTGCCACATCGGGTTTGTCCAGTGATGTAGAATTGACTACACTGAGCAGTTTAATGGGATGCTGTTTGTCTATGGTGTCTCATACACTATCGTTTTAGGGTAGTAAAGTGAATACAGATCATTATTTTCAATATTCATTTCTAGTTGTAAGCATTCAACTTCAAGTCTCCCTTGTTCGGGAAGATGTTCACTTAACTTCCTAGCTGCATCTCCTAAATATAAAAACTCTTTCCCAGACACTCACCGCACAAAAAAAGGGGGGTAAGAACATGATAAAGGTGTTTTTCATTGATCTTGAATTCTTCTTAGCAATCTTCATATATGCATACAGGGGATCTCCAGGAATGATGGTTGATTGTTCAGGATGGTGTAAAATGCGTCAAATGAATATTTATTAAAAGTTTTGAGCCCCCCATGATTTGCGAAACCTTTGATGCATGTACACTTGCATGCATATGCATATGCACAGGCACGTAATAAATACATAACCAAGAATTGAGGGTCATGAATTCTCTATTGAGGCTTATGAATTCTCTGTAGATGATTGTATCTGAAAAATGTTTTGCACTCACTAGAGGTTATTGGTAAAGTAAGATTCAAGCTTTACCCCAGCATATTTATTCTTAAAAATGCTAAAATGCAAAATATTATATTGCATCATATTAACTTGAATATAGATGGTTTTATAACACTGGTGTCATAGTTTGTGATTATGTGTGTCATGTGCTCTGACAAATCCAAATTTGCTGTCCTGAAGTTGTTGCCTCCTTGGCTGTCCTCTTAATACATTGGTACATCACCTGCCGTTGATATTATTGTTCAAAATCATATTTTATTAGTGGGCTGAATTGAGCCAATATTGTGATCAATTGGAATGGAAAATGGATGTGGCTTTGGGTTTTGCCCATGTGATCGCATGGCACCCATCTGCAGCACCCGAGGCTAAAAGCCTATTGCCATGCGATTGCATGGGCATGAAAATTAGCCGTTAGGCTGGTTTTCAGGTTTGAAATCTAGTGGCTTTTGGATGAAAATTTCCATCTTTTCATAAAGAGTTGGAATCATTTCAAGATGTGTTGATTGAAAGCTATAAACAGAGGATAGTTTTCATAACTGAATACATGAAAAACAATCATTTCATTCATCAAAAAGAGATTACTACACTCATACATTTTCAATTTTCAAAGGTTTTCATTTAGTTCATTGGAAGGATTATTTGTGTTTTGGTATTCTTCTGTCAGGCCTGATAAATCCTACAAACTATTTGCCATTTAATTCCTTAGAAGCACTTGAAAAGGATGCAAATATCGTTTGAGGACAACGTTTACAACATGTTCAAGTCTTGCCTTTTACTCCAATTTTGGTGTTTCCATCCTCATCTATCTTCTCTCCATTGTTATTACGAACAATCTCAAATGATGTAGAATTAACGGAAGCTGAAGCAGGCATTGAATATGGAGACAATTAGGCAAACTGTACTTCACCCAACCTCTTGCGCCCAAATTTGAGAGTTTTCCTCTTCACCTTATTTGGGTTTGGTACTTATTGGTTCCGACCAAAGTCGTTTCCCTGCAGATCGAGTTCTGGAATGGTGCAGACTTCACAGAAGCTGAAACCAGCATTATGTAGGACAATTAGGTAAAATTTAGTTTTTTACAGCCCCATCTTGTTATTTTTGAGAGCATTTTACCCTTGATATATATGGGTTTCCCATGGGGTTCGTACTAAGTCACAGATAAATGTGAAGATCTATCTTTCAGAATTGTAGCCATCCCTTATTGTAGCATATATGTATACAAGCAAGTTCCGTGTTCATGAATTCTGAGGCTACAAAAATGTAAAGACGTTTGTATATATAGCAGCCTCTATATATCCATTTGGACCATTTCTCTATCTTGAAGTGTCTGTGAATTGAGTTAAATCACTTGTACAGAAGTCATACAATATCATGATCTGTTTGTCCTGTTTAAAGAAGAAAGGGCGTGAGCTAAAACCCATTCAAGTTTCTTGGTCGAAGTGTTGCAATTTCTACCTGCCTAACAGACGCAGAGGTGGTTTGATTCCCATTGTTTGCGATGGTTTTTGGATTTTTTTATAAATTCAAGAATTCTGGCTACAAATTATTTTTGAAAAATAAAAAAAAAAAAAAAGAAAAAGCAGGGAAAGTAGGAAAATAATTGTTATGAAAAATGGAACATAAAATTTATTCAGGAAAAAGGCACCATGGATTCCAATATGTTGCTTGTGTAATAAGATCATTTCTTTAAAAATGAGCAAGTTGGTCCTAACATTTCGTTATAAATGCATTGCATATGTATAATTTTCCATAATAATGGAAGTTGGAAACTGACCAAAGTTATAATTGGTAACAACAAGCAGATCATAATATAAACATTGGTTGATAAAATAACAAAGCAAAATAAAATTGATCTAATCGAAGTGTTTATAAATACGAACACGAACATATTGTAAATATAGTAGTATTTATGAATAATTTTTAAGTTTTAACCCTTATAGTCATAGCCATAGTCATTATGATTGTTGTATCTATTGTATTCTTAATTCTTTTCTATAAATAAATGATTTTAGTTCTTAATAAAACATACAAATTTTTTAGATTCTCTATTTTTCTGTCTAGTTTATAATATGTTATTAGCACGATTCTTTCAAAATCAAAGTGAATTAGTTAGAATGTATAATTTTTATAAACATGATCTCTATCATGTGTACCGAAATTAATTTGGTGACATATAAATTCTTTTAATGTACATATGCATCTTAACGATATTGTTTCTTCTTCTTCTATGTTTTTTATTTGTAAGCATATTAATTTCAATTCACGTTTCTATATGTAATATGTATATATTAATTCATCTTTATTAAATAAATTCATACTTTATCATTATTCATTCCTTTTTATTCATACTCTATCAATTCTGCCACATATTATTCACATACTGTTATTTCTAAGTTTTAATTCTACCTTTAATTTCTGTATGTGAAATGCACGTGCATGTTTGGTATCTTTTGCATGTTGGTAAAAGATTTAGTCAATTTTGCTAATTTCTATATATGAAGATTCCTTTTTTTTTTTTTTTCAAATGCATGTTTGATAATTATTATTTTTTATATAAATTCGTGTCTCATTTATATAACAATTAATTTTTATATTATATCCTATTTGTATGGCATTTAATATTTTTAGATGTTCCTTTATAAACTTTAAATTTATAATTCATAATGTTGTAACTCCTTAGTAACACAACATTATAATTAATATTTCAGAAGAATATTATTTGCTTCTAAAAAGTATAAATTATAATTTTCAATATTTCAAAAAAATATTAACACGTTGCTCCTGAAGAAGTACAACTCTATAAATATTATATTTTTATAGAAAATATATCTTTGAGGAATTAACGCTCTCTCAATAATAATTTGTTGTTACTTTTGAAGTAGCACAATATTTTTTATATTTAGTTATATTTTACTTGCTGTTGAAGAGCATAATTAAAATTATGTTTTTACTCTGAAAAGTAAATTTTTGTACAACTTATTATTTTGAATAATAATATGTTATTGTTTTTGAAGAGCATGACACAATGATTCTCATATTTAGGAAAAATATTGATATGTTGCTCTTGAAGAAATGATAGAAAAATACAATGTGCTCTTAATGTAGTATATGTTTCAAAGAATATATCATTTTGAATCCGTGTTTATCCATAAAGAAATGCATATAACTCATGTCATATTGACATTTGATTAATTTGTCTACTTGATTGAATATTATACAAGTATATAATGTTTAATCATATTTTTTGAAATTAAATAATTGAATTATATTTTATATTGAACTAGAAGTTTAATTTACTTTTATTGTTTGGTATGACTGGTTAGATCTTCACCAGATCAACAATGATACGAAATTAAAAATTCAAATGAATATTCAATGAAGAATTAGAAGATTATTCAATTCAATAAATTTCTTTATATTATTTGTTCTCTTTATCGACAATTAATCATTAACCATCACTAGGGCTGAACATGGTCCGATTTGATTTGTTTTTAAAGAAAATCTAACCAAACCTGAATTTTCGGGTATTAAGTAAGTAAAATCGTCGGGTCTAAATTTAATTATTGAATCGTTTGAGTTTGGTTCCATTTGATTCTTGAGTTCCGTACAATAATTAATTTTTTTTTATATTTAAAACAACGTTACATTAATTCAACTATGATATTTTCAATCTTAACTCTTACAAAATAATGCAGTTTAACCCCCCGTGATATCTCTTTGTTGAGTTCTTCACATAATTGATTGTTAAAATCACAATAATAGGAAAATAGTGAGCCTACAATAACGAAGAGAGGCACAACCAAGTTTCCAATTCGATTTTTCCAGTAAAGCGAAACGCTAGAATAAGAGATATGAGTAAAACTTAGGTTAATTTGATGAAACTGGGTTTGGTTGGAAATTAGAAATAGGAAAATCATATTTTAGGTTTGGGCCAAGCAGTTTGCAAGTTTATTTAAAAAAATAAAATAATTTAACTTATTTAAAATAAAAAATTTAAAAAATTAGAAAGATTCGATTCTCGATTCAGATACCCTTTCAGGTATTTAACTTAAGATGAATTGCTTGTCTTGGTTCAATTCAATTCAAGTTCGATTCGGTTGGGGAGTTTTGTCTAACTCTAACATTACTAGTTAAAATAGAGATTGAATTTTCTATATTTCTGAAAATTAGTTAGGATGATAAATGGGGACCCATCATTTTCCACATTAACCATCTAAATATTATTTATATCTAATATATTTGATACAATACTGAATGATTGCATAGTGTATGCAACTTGAAGTTTGAGAAATTGCTGTTCAAATTTTAAATTTTGAACATAATTTTCAGATTATATAATCAAAATAGTACATTGTTAATACTATTGATTTTAAATCTCAAAATTTTCGTAAGCGTTACTTGAGATGTCAATAAATAGTTTAACACTATTATTTGCTAAATGGCACCAATTAATTGAATTGAAAAAAGAATACTTTCCATTTTTATTTAGGGAATACTATTAGATATCATGCCAACATTATAGCTCTTAATGTTATAATTGACCCACAATCGGAACCTAATTTTTCATCTAATTTATTTAATAGTATAGCATATGTAAAAGTGATATACCACAATGCACTGAAATGGAAATAAATAAGTAGTTTAAATCCTTATAAAATATCTCAAGCTCTAAAGCGATTTGCTAATTATTAATTTAATTAATCAATTATCTCAACATTAGGAGAAGGAATTAAGAAGCTAAAAACAATATATTAATACATAATTATATTATTTAGATCGTCGTAAAAGATAATTCGAACCAAAAGTTTGAAAGACAAGTGGATGTTCTCTTCGTATTCCAGTTTTATAGTTTTGAGTTTTGAATTCATTTTAGATTTTGTGTTTTGAGTATCTATTTTGAAATTGCTGAAAATGTGTTTTCTTTATCATTTTGAAAAACTATTTTTGAAAACATAAAATTGAAAAATACGTTCACTTTGAAATTTTGAGAAATTTTTTTATAATATTTTATTCAAGAAATATGATTATTCGATAAATTTTAATAGTTTAATGTTAATATAGTATTAAATAACATATAAATTTTGAAGTTGGCGAATCTTGAAATATTTTTTGACAGATATAAAAAACACAACCTAAATTAAATTTGGTAACACAGTTCAATAGATACTATAAGAAGTTTACGTGTCATGACAAAACAAGTAGACACTAAACAAAATATAAACTACATCCACGAAATCATGTACGATGTCTTGAGCAGTCATTCCACATTTGTGCAACAATTTAATCCCTGACTTGTCCTATTTGAGCTGTTTGACTAGCATCAAAATGTATGACTTCTTGATTTTGACTTGACTCTAATATGTCTTGAAACACCATATTCTCCTCTGAATACTCTACAAATAATTTATCTAAAGCGTGCTCTTGACGAATAAAGTTGTTTATTGCACAACATGCAGTAGGAATTTGTCTTTACCTACTAAGTGGATAATTGGTAATCAACTTCAGAATAGAAAATTTTGCCTTTAAAACCCCAATGCAACATTTAATAATGTTACAGCACGAGGAGTGTCTATAGTTGAACAATTCTTCCTTCCCACGTAATCTTTCTTGTCCAACATAGTCACACAGATGATATATTTGACCTCGATAACGGGCAAGAAATCTAGGCATGTTTGGATATCCAGAATCAACAAGGTAAAATTGATCTACAAAATAAAAAAAAGGTTTACATAGTGTGTAACTGTAAATATATTTGCAATAATTATTTAAAGTATAAGAATATACCTCCTCATGGCATTGGAAAGTTGTTCGACCTTCTTGTGACTGCGTCAACGAATCATTAGTAGTACCTTCCCAGCCGACATATACAAATATGAATTCCATATCAAAATCGCATGTCAACATCACATTTTTCATTACATTAGTTTTCCTTTCTCGAAAAAATGTTTGTCTTGATGCAGGAGCTCAAGCTGCAACATGTGTTCCATCTATTGCTTCTATACAATCTTTAAAGAAATGATATATGCGCAAAATCCGCTCATGCACAACGTCTTGATTTGTCGAACGAAATATCTCAGTGCAAAATGAACAAACAGCCCTTACAATCTGTTTAAACCATTTGTGTATCGTGTTGTTGGAATGCTGAAACCTATCACCAATAACACTGTATCATGTATAATCATCAGAAACATAGCAACACCCTCCTCGACGCTCATTTTTTTCCATCTTTCAACAACCCTTTCTCTTTCAAAATATCACAAAAATTCATAAAAACGTATTTCTGTATACAAAAATTACGATAGCACACGTCCGGATGTCCATTCAAAATTTCTAGAATGTACATTTTTTCTGAAAATAATGATGTTTTGCAAGGTCTCCTACCAATGGTACTTACTTTGTTGGCAACAAAGTAATTAAGCATCATCAAATCTCCAAAATTTGCATCAAAATCATCCATATATAACAAATCATCATCACTAAATCTTCATCAATAGAATCATCGGTACTCACATTATCATCCACATTTGATTGACTGGCCATACCGTGAACAAAAACCAAAATAATTATCATAAGTCTTCTTTCGAATAAAATAAACAATCAAGCATTTAGAAACAGAAGAAAAATTAACATCAATTTTTCGATGTTCAACATCACTATATTCGTAAATGAAAACAGTACAACATCACCACAATACTAGAGAAATTTAAACAACACAAAGTAGTTCCAAGATAGTTCAAAACAACACAAAGTAGTCACAAATTAAAACAACACAATACTAAAGAAATTAACACAGCAGTCACATCAAAATAGTTCCAAGATAGGTCCTCTCCTTGCTTCTGGTATCTTCACAAATGACACCTTGAAATCGAGATTTTTAAAAGCCTTTATGGCTTTCATATAAATCTCGTGGAACACCCCTTCCATATTGTTTAAGATGTTCAAGCAAATAACATTTGAATAAGAATCCGGACAATTTACTTCATTATCCGATTGATTACTTGATTTTCCTTAGATCTTTGCAAGCTTTTCTTTTAAGTAAAGTGTTCTAAGTTCAGTTTCTTCTTTCCTCAAACTAACTGTAGATAACCACCATGTCATGCAGACCTTGACTTTATCACTTTTACTGATCTTAGGTTCCTCACGTCGCCGTTTGCCGGATGTACCAATTTCATTACGTCGACGAGTATTTGAAACCACATCGACTTCATCATCATTTTTCCGCACGTACATGCACGCCCCTATTCAAAAAATCATCTTCTAGCTGTTTTTCTTCTTCTGATGTGTTTGGAAGCTGAGTAAAGGCATTGCATAATCCTCCAGTAGCTGTAGTCCTGCTAAATATCTCCTCAAGAGTGTAGTAGTGCTTACATCCTTCCCTCTTGAACAACTTGTAATCCGACTTGTTAATTTAACATTGAAAAAAGAAGTCACATTGTCAATTTTTAAAAAAAACAAAATTGTAAAATTGATAAGATAAAAAATATGAATGAAAATATTCTTTAGAAATTAAAAATACTGTATAAAAGTGTTGCCAAACTTTCTCTGCAGCATTAACTTTGTTAGTATTTGGATCCCGTGTAACATCTGTATGTCTCAAAAGTTCAGAGAACGTGCGATGAATCTTACGCAAGTAATTCCACTTTCCCTTCAATCTATCTATGCCGTACTCCATTTTTGTTGAAACTATCATGGTTTCATTGATCCTGTCCCATTCATCTTTCGTGAATGTAGAACATTGCAATGTGTTTGATTTCACTCTCTCATAAAGAATTTCGATAAAAGCGTGTTCATTCTCGTCTGACCATGACATTGGTTCCTTATTCCTTACTCTGTGACCACCCATGTTAAAGCTATATTGATATAAATCAAATTATCATCAAATATGTGTTTAATTATAGTCACATACCACCAATTGCTCAAAAGTCTTCAAGTGAAATGTCAAATAGCAAAAGCATACCAAACTTACTAGAAACTTACTTGATTAGGCGGTACTGTTCTAAAAAAGCCATGCAGAAATGATCCATACCATACCAGAAACTTACTTGATTAGGAGGTACTGTTCTCTTTTATTCTCTAGTTCTTTTATTTTTTTTCCCTTGCTTAGTGGGCAGGTAAAGCTGCTTCTATTTTCTTTTCTCGTTAAGAAGGGAGGGGTAAGGTTCAACTCCTTGTATAGTAAGGTTTATATGGAAAGGATTTTAAGGCACTCATTTGATGTTTTCCAGGTATATCATCTCTTATTCTTCGAAATAACTTGCTAGATCAGAACATTAACATTAAATAGATCTCATTCTAATTTTACTCAAAATAATTTAGCCTCCATTAAGAACACTAAAACAATGTATTCAATGAAAAACCAAATCGAGAAGACCACGAAAACAAGGAGTAAAAGGAGGCACTAAAGGTATAAAGGGAACTTACACTAAAGCAAACGGAGAGAACATGAATATAATAAATGACATAATGAATCATACAATAATGTGAATGTTGCTTTGTTCTTTTATACAAATTTGAGAGTATTACTTCAAGAATGCAAATATTTGATTTATGCAAGAGAAGGCACAGAAGTACAATAATACTATAATGCCTGAAAACTAAAATGGCACCTAAAGCAAACTTAGTCATGATTTCACTTTATCATGAACCAGAAAAAGATTAGTAGCATTAGGTAACCAATGAATATTACCCGAACAATACTAGTTTGATGCAGCAATAATTAATCCCTCCCAACAATCCTTACAAAATTATTATAATGAAAAACTGCCTGAACAAAGAGACACAATGGAAATGAAGACATTTCTATGGGTACATGCCAGACGAAGACACTTTACACAGATGTCTTTCTGCCTTCTCTTTCTTTGGTCCAAAAACAAGCAGCACAATGGTTTAATTAAGGTGCTTAGAAGCTAATGAAGACTCAAAATGGCAAGTGTTTAATTTATAACTTCTAAAACAACAATACTAAAGCACAAAACTATCACAAACTTGATCATTAACACCATTGGAGAACGCATGGTATTGAAAGAGTAAAATATCAAAGTTTGATTATCGAACTTCTGGTCCATGTTTCTCTTGCAGAATATCAAAAGTGGTACAATGTCAAATTATACATTGTGCATACGAAATTGTACTTTCAATCTAAATAATACAAAGACAATATTCTTACAATCTGACACAAAACATTTTAAACAACTTCCATTTTCTGATTAAGAATAGAAAATTGAGGGGAAATAGCAGAAATTTATAAATGCGAAGAAAATTTTGCCATTTGAAGAAAGAGCAAATTGAAGAACAAACTACATGGATTTCAAGAAACAAGTAAGAATTCAAAAAATATAAAAGCTCAGAGTTTCTGTGATTTATGTTAATTGAAAAGCCCTACACCCCTAAATCAAAAAACCCTAAATTATAAAACATTATAGGAATGAGGAATCACTAAATCAGAATTCATGGAACCAAAATAAAGCACTGACACTGGAAGAAAACAACTGAAATCAAATGACAATGTTACATACCTTTGAAGACGGCAGACCACAGATGCACCACTCACGGCAGACCACATACGACAGACCTACTCACGCATGGTGTAGAGAGTCAAGATGCAAACCTACGGTGCAGTCGGAAGAGAGAGATGCAAACAGGGAAATGAAAGGAGTGGGAGGAGAGAGAGATGTGGGGATTATGGGATACGTGGAAATGGGAAAAATGGAAATTAGCGTTTCCCGTGTTTCGTAAATATACAATGTTTTTACTAGAAAACACTCAAAACATCTTTTTAGGTGTTTTGAGTTTTGTGTACAGATTTTTTTTTTGTTTTCCAAAATTCATTTTTGAAAATGGGAAGGAAAACTTGTTCTTACCGTTTTGAAAAATTGAAAACAGAAAATGGTCCGAAACGGCAAAGGGATGCTAATTTATTTAGATACATTTATTGGCTAAAAGGATCAATAATATCTTACGCACCAACTTCAAATGCTCCAACTCGAATTGACATTATAGAGGACAATTAGTTAATATGATATTAGATGGTACGCCTAAAGTGTAATGATTTTGATTATAATATAAAAATCTCCAAATGAAAATTGAGTAATTAACAAAGATGATCTCATTAAGGAGGTTTATACTCTTGATGAGTATTTAGATATAACAAATTAAAAAATTTCAGAAAAGGTTCAGGTACCTGAAATAATAAAAATTAAGATATCTCAATAAGTTATGTCGCTACGAGGAAAGAAATAGAATCGAAAAGAAAAGATTGTCGACAAACACTTTTGCTCATAATGTACAATATCATATAGGGAGGAATCGAAATAAATGCGTCGAAATATATCGATCAAAGTGATGATTGGCCAAATAAAAGTAACACGATCCTAAATTAAATTTACTAGAGAAATCTGAAGTTTTTGGACCTGTAGTCCAAAAAATCTATATTTATACTAAAAGGAAATGAGAAAAATAAAATCGTAATATGCTTTGCACGATTCTCAACATAGTAAATTTCGCAAAGATCGTGATGGATAAAATTACAGTTCATGTCATGTTATCTTGATGATGCATGAAATTTGAAACATGTGATAAACTAATTTGACATGACTATTAATGTTATCCATGAATAATTTAATATGCGTAAAGCATAATTTCAGTGATATTATCATGAGGGAGAGTAAATACGTATTGTACTCTTTTTCCTTTGATCGAAAATTTATCCTATTGAATTTTCCTGGCAAGATTTTTAACAAGGCAACTTTTTTATCAAAAGAATAACTCACTTTTTTTCCTTCATTAGGATTTTCTTCACGGGGTATTTCCTAATAAGATTTTAACGAGACATATTCTTTATGTAACAAATGTACATAACATATGAGACATTTACCTTAATGCATTTATCAAGTTTTGTTCCATTGCATTTTCTTGAAGACATTGAAGCATAAGACATCAATATTGAAGACATTGACATAAAGACATGGATCGTTTGTATAAGAATCGAAATAAGGAAAAGTAGCTGTATTCTCTTTCATTCGATCAAGTTTTGTCTCATTGAATTTTTTTGACAACGTTTTAATGAGGCAGCATATTATCAAATTATTTTTATTTGTTGGCATTTTTGTCCCATTGATTTTTTTGTCAAACAATATTTCAATGAGATAATTATTGTGTAAATAGTCATTCAAGTGAGAGTGTTGTAAATATTGTAGTATTTATTAATAACTTTTACACTCTTGTAGCCTTAATCATTATGACCATTGTATTCCTTGTAGCCTAATTCTTCCCTATAATTATAGGATTTTATTTCTTAATAAAACACAAATTTATTTATTTTTCTCTTATATTCCCTATAGTTTATAATAGAACACAAGTATTTATAAAAATATAATAGTTCAATGGGTAAGCAAGTAATCCCAACCCATAACCAGTTTGGTTTAAAGCCCAATACGTCATTTAATGAACCTTTGTAGATTCGATAATTTTGTTACAAGGGAAAAAAACATAACTAAGGAGTTAAATATCATCAATTTTAAAACTAAGAACAAATGTTTCAAATCTCAAAAATCAAATACTAATTAAATTTATTTATGATTTAATTAATTAAATATATTAAGGTCACAAAATTATACAATCTGATGACAAATTAACGATTTAATTATGAGGAAAATGAAAGCTAAAATAAACATCCTCTAAGCAACAAGACCAAATGTGTGGAAGACCTGGCTCTTCTAATTTGTATGTGGAGTGTTTATAAAATGGATTTGTACCTTGATATGTAGAATGGGTTTGTGGGATGGGGTATTTGGCTTCAGAAATTTGGATTTAGCATTGGGGGCTTGTGTTAGACGTTTTGAAATGTCGGAGGGTTACACCACACAAAGAAGGTACATCTATACGCATCTTGGCTTCAAAGACATGTGAGAAATCTTCTTCCTTGGTTCAGATTCGTCTATGAGGCCTTCATCTGCATACATTCATCTCCATGTACGTGCTGATTTTTTCTTACTAACAATAGGAGAGAAAATAAAATTAATAGTGATAAAAATGGAGGAAAATGAACAGTGTAGTGCAATAATAAAGGGAGAATGTGTAATGCCTAGATTGCTCCACTTATTTGGGGGAAATTATTAATTTTTTTTTTCATTTCTAGGGTCAACTAACGATTTTGGTGGTTAAACAGATAAAAATTGTCATTTTTGGACTGAGTGTACGATTTTTTTTAAAGATTTGGTACCTCTAGTGACACAAATGAAAAATTTGGGTCAAGTCTGCTAATAAATAAAAGATTTGGTACCTTTGCTACAATTTTTCCTTTTTTAACTGTCTATTTTACCAGCCCAATCATAAATGTCCAATTAGCCTCATTAACAAATTATGGGAAAAATTCATTTCTAAGAAGGTAAGTATACCCCTTCTCAAAATTAAGAACAAAGGTTAAAGTTTTAAAAATTAGATTTTATTTATAAATTAATTTATTAAATATATATTTTATTAATTAAATATATTGAGGTCACAGTTATCTAATTAATTAGTCACAGATTAAATTTCAGTCACAACTTATCAAATTTTTTGTTGCAACTTATTTCTCAATCACAAATCGAAAATTTTATAAATCACAGATTATTCATCGGTCATAGAATCCAAAATCTTTTAGATCATCAATTATTTTCAGTGCAAAATTATTGGATTTATTGGTCACGATTAATTTTTCGATCACAACTTCATCAATTGTGAGTCACAGTTACAATTTTCAGGTCATATATCTAATTATTAGTCACAATCAACCAAACCGCCACGACCAATTGCGACTCTCAAATTGTGAGCCACAATTGAGAGCCACAATCACAAATTCCAAGTCATGTATCCAATTATTTTGACACAATCTACCAAATCGCCATGACTACCACAACCACCGTGACCACAAAAATCGTGCAGATCACCAACATCAACCCATCGTCATCACACACATGCCACCACCCAAAATGGTCACAAACCCTGCCACCCGCAGTCACCACACCACTGCCACGACCACCACCGCCATCACCACCACCTCATCGCCAACCTTCCAATCTCTAACAAAACAGAAAACCTTTGTCGTCGCCACCACCACGACCTCCCATTATAGTCGCTGCTGCAGATTGCGGCTAGATCTCGTCGTTTACCACCAGATTGCTGCAACTGCAGGTCACCACCAGATCTCGTCGTTCACGGCCAAATCGTTGCCAAGTTCGACACCATAAGCCCTCGCCACCGGTTCGTCGACGTGCAATGGAGCAGCTCGTCCATCGGCGGATCTACTTCGCAAATGGGCTTATTTCACCGCCAAAAACTTGCTGTGATTCTCCGCTTCTTCTGGCCGACACTCCTTCTAAGGTGAAATGCATTGAGGGTGGATGATGGGGTGGGCGACGACAGCGATAAGGTGAGGAGATACTATCGGTCTTCGGAGGTGATGGTTGGGTGGAGAGAGAGAGAAGGAGTGAGGCGATCGTTGTTGGGAAAATATAGATTGGGAATTGATTAGGCTTTCTGGTGTATATTTATTTTATAAATTTTTTTAGTTAAAATAGAATATCTAGTTTTTGAAATATGAAACTATCGCCTTGATTTCGGAATTCGTGATTTTAATCTTAGGGTTTTGTATAATTACCACACAAATTATTAATCGAACAAGACTATAAGTAGCCCAAAATTCAAATGATTAAAGTGAATAGTGAAAACCTAATCCCAAATCCCTTTTCGCAATTTTCCTTCATTAACTCTAACACATGAAGACCAGTCAAATAGAGAAGAGAAGAAACTCTAATGTCAGTGTTTGTTGCTTATTCTACAATGGTACAATCTACATCGTAATATCACTATTTTCTTGGTGCCGATTGTCCACTTGCAAATTGTTATTTCGTGATTTTTTTTGTTTTTTTGATCTAGATATGTAAGCTTTTGTTGGGCGATAACAGACAAGTGATTAAATGGGCTAGCTTTGATATCTATTGAACAATATTTGCTAGAACATATTGACTATAAAAGTTGAATTAGAGAATTTGCTTTTAGGAATGTGAGAAAAAATATTTTTATATGATTTGTAAGTTTATATGTGGTATTTGCTGTTTTTGATTTCAAGGTTTGCACATATAAAAATTGCATGAAGAAGTTAGTGGCTTGGATGGTTCTTTGTTGATGATGTATTAATTTTGATAAAGTTCGAAATGTGCTTTTAAGCTTAAACTTATTTGCAATTTTCAGTGGGTTGAATAAGTTGTATTCAGTATCTTAACTACTAATAAAAGACATGAATTTCTGTTTTTCCAATTTAGTTGTGAGTGAACACGTTAATAGCAAGTGCTTCATTTAATATTTAACTTACTAAAAATTGCAAAAAATATTTCTTCCTTTTTATGTGTAGGCTGAGTTTCTTTATTTTCTTTTCCCAATTATATAGTCTTGTTTCTTTATCGAGAATTTTTTGTTTACTAATGTACCATTATTTAATTTTTCTAGTTACAAGCAATTTTATCTACTTAATTTTGAAATTGTACAAATATAAATAAGGGTATACTAGGAATGTTTTAGAATAAAATTCTGTTTTCAATAACATTAAATAAGATTCCTTAATCTGTTTGAAAAACAAAACCAACTTATATAAATGAGATGGAGGGAGTATAACAAAGTTGACAGTTATTCTCTATAAATAGAAAAACATTTGTTGTTTTCCATAGATAAATAGAGAAAGATTTGGTGTTATTACAAGATAAACTACAAAGAAAACAACAAAGCAGTGTTCAAATCCCAATCAAATGTTTCTATAATGTATAAATACAAAAATTGATATGACTTATACCTGTCTCATGAGGATAAAATCTCAAGAAACTTCATTAAATTTTTAGTAGATTTTCAATATTCAACATCAATCCAAGCCTGAAATATGATAAGATTAATACGGTGACTTTTGTGTTCTAATCAGTCATTGATAAAAGTGATAACTGGTAATTTGTTTGGTGAATATTGCTGGCGAATCTATCTCGGTGAGCAAAACTAATGAGGAGAAAGGTGACAAAAAGAGCACAATGCACTTAGAAATTCGTATTTAAGAGGATATGAGCATCATGGAGCTTAATAATTATACCAAGGCAGAGATTTGGACTACAACTTAATTTTACTGTGAGATACGTGCAAAAAACTTATTTCTACTCCACAAGATTCTTGATACGTAGAAGATATATTTGGTTATGGGAAATGATCTAATGAGCACTGGTGCTTAGTTTATATTAAGCACCGATGACATGTCACAACAATTTATTCGTGAATCATTAAATTCATGGGACATACCATTAACTTATTCACCAATTAAATAGTGTACCATGTTATTGGTTCTTAGCATAAGTCATAAGCTAAGCACGGGTGTCCATTAGATTATTTCCTGTTTGGTTATTTACATGGATGTATCGGAGAATGTGATATTTCCAACAATGAATTTGGATCTCAAATTAATTTCCTCCAAAGATGACATGAATAGCTAAACCACTCTATGTCTCCAAGCACAGAAAGGCACATGAAATTTAGCTCATGGTTTAACTAAAAAAATAAAAATAAATAAAAATTAAATTTTAAAAATAAAACAAAGTCAACTATTAGTTCTAACAATACGTACCATCAACTTCAATCGAAATCTACTAAAAACTTTATTTTTATCTAAACCAAGCATTGGCTTAGTGTTCAGTTGTTTACATTTATCTCTCAATCAACTTGGATAATATTAGTACTTTAAAAAAAAAAAAGTCCTTTTCAAAATGAATTCAAATTCCGAAGTTGTGGCGATTTGACTCTAGTCAAGAAAATAAAGAGGATTAAAAAAAAGAAGAAGAAGAAGAAGAAGAGGAGAAAGGCCAAACACATGGTTTCATTTTAAATAATAATTATACGGGAATGTAAAATGCAAACAAAATGAAATATAACAAGTCAACTTCTTCTAGAGCTAACTTATACTTCTCTTTAGATACTTAAGAGCTAACACTTATTATTTGCAATATATTGTACACAAAAATATTTGTATGATATGAGTCAAACATATAATCGAAAGCATACACAAAAATATTTGTATGATATGAGTCAAACATATAATCGAAAGAATAACTGCATTCGATGAACACGAAAAATCCGACAGGAGACTTTGTTGGTACTAGCTACTAGAGAAGAAAAGCATCGCAATCTCGAAGAACACAAGATAAAATATAACAAGTCATTTATTTTATAGATTACTTAGTATTTACAATACTCGCACATCAAATTTTAGCATGGTATTGATTCAAACAACATGAATTTATAGTATAATAATATATATTGTTTAGATCGCCTCCGCACCTAATAATATATACTTGAATTCATAATTTATGTCTTGTCAATGTAATATGAAACCATCTTATTCAAAAATTTAATTATAATCATTAAAAGCACAAAAAATATTTCTCTATATCTTTGTCTTTCAATAGAATTTAATATAATAGATCATTTCGATGATTCACCAAAGCTAAGGAAACTCGTTTCGCAACGGCTTGCTAGTGAGCATGACGGAACTCTTTTCTGCATTTTCGCACGAATTCTTAATTCGAACATAGTATTCTAGTTGCCAATGTTCTAAGAAACAAAAAATACACGCTCGTTGCTTTCATACTATATGTCTATGTTCAGAGATGTCCAAGAAAGCTTTTGATAATAAAATAAACAGATTTTAATAAAAGTTGATGAAATGTGATGAAAAAGTTTAAAAAAATTGTAGATTTATAAAATGTATATTGTTGACTTTGACCGTAAATTTTTAACAACTTTTTAGGTTTTACCGAATAAACACTAATATATCCGCAAAAAAAAAAAAAAGTCAATCAAAGGAACAAAAAAGTAGAACAAACTTGCTGGTCGTACATAAGGGTGTTTACACCTTCTTGACAGATCAGATTTTTGCATTTTTATTCATGTGGGATCGATTCGAGACACCCGCACATGTGAGAATCTGTCATGTAGAATGTAAACCATTTTTTGATAGAGGAGCTTTATTCAAAGTAGAAAAACATGTGTATGCTCATAATAAACTTGTCTAATCAAGATGTTAAATATGATAATTTGTGAACACGATATAAGTCACAAACTAAGTAGTGGAGTGAAAAATGATAATGGTTGATACACTTAAAAAAGATTATCCAACTTAATAAATTTACATATGTTTACACTAAATTAATGCACACGAACAACTTCGTATCATAAATTTGTTCATCAAATCTCACACTCGTGCTCAACATGAATTCTTGATGGGCAAAATGACGTACGACAAGTCGCACACATTCTCTTGGCAATCCCAATTTACAAAAGCGCAAACACACACTTTATTACAATTCCATTCAAATAACTCGACTTACTCGAACATGTCCCAGGTAAATATCTTCTATATCGCCTTAAAATGTCGTATTTAGGTCGATTCCGTGGCCATAAAACTGTCATATCACGCTTCTGTACACGCCACTCTAGACATCACCGGTGTAAAAATCGATGCGATGTTTATGAAAAGTACAAAACCAAACGCCTTGAACAGTAAGTGCAGAAATATTTTCTCTTGAATTTGAAGCATATGGGCATAAAGCAAAATTTCCATTGTCTTCTTACATCTACTGAATGCACTTTCCCTCCACAATAAGGGCATGCCCCACCTGCCAGTTGCCTCCCAATCTCTGTTTCCTCTCCATTACAAATCATCAGTATAGACATTCTTTCTCACTTTTGAACTTCTACTGTGTGTGTATGGATATGTGTGTGTGTGTGTGTCTATATATATATATAGAGAGAGACAGAGAGAGAGAGGGACAAACAGTTAGATAGATAGATAGAAAGATGGATAGGGTGGAAGTTGTGGGACATGGACCGAGAATGTTCGGCGCATGTTCAGGTTTCTTCAAGTAACATGAGGCTAACATGCGCTTGGGGCATACGATGAGTGACATGATATTTAATGGTAAAGAAGAATTTCGTATGCACACGTGGAGTTTGATCGAAATATGTTGTTGTTGTTTAATTTATTATCTGTTATTATAAGAAAGGTATCGAGGGGTGAGTCATGTTGATCATTGATTTGGAAGGTGAGTTGGCACAAGTTTACTTGTCTAACAATAATTGAATCAATAATTAGAAAATATGCACAGAAAAGAACCTAACAAATTGTTACTTAATGTGTGTATATTAATTATCAGTTGTCTATGGTAATTTTATATGAATTTTAATTGTTCACTCTCTTTATGCAACCCTCCAAGAGACTTTATTGAAAAAGAACAATTTATATATAATATTGAACATTTTTAAATTTAAAGATTACTTACATTTTTTTGCTTTTTTTACACTTCAATGATGCCCTCTATTTTGAATCTTCATTTTATTTTTTTAATATACATCCATTGATTTTCCATCAATTTTTGTTTAACATATTTTCCAGATGTCAATGAATTCAAATATGGTTTGAGTAATATAAGATGTAGAACATTGAAATGTGTAACTTATTAAATGGGTGGGATTGTGGCTACTTTGGTGTAAGGTCAACGATGTTAAGGGATGCCTTTTCATGTCTTCTATACAATCTACCAACCTCTGGTAACAGGCTCTAAGGACAAGGATTCGATGAATGGATGTTATTATAAGATTTTGTGGGGCTCCCTACACCCCCTTCATCATCAGCCTCCCTAGCTCGATAAAACATTGAAAGAAGGGTTAGTTCTAGGTTTAATCATATTACATGTACATCACTTTTTACATTGTTGTGGTAACGTGCTATCGGACAGCTTAAAGAATATTTTTCAACCAATCAAATCATACCAACTTGGATGATGTCAAAAGAAATGGACACTTTTGATGTACAATTGGCTTAACTCTTCTACGTTTAAGGCTCGTGGCAGATCATTGAGGAAAATGCCTTGCCAACCCTGATCATATATACCTAGAAACGCCAGTGAGTGTTGATTGTCGAGGTGGAGGTGGAGGTGAAGTTAGACCACATATTCAACACTGTATTTATGCATTTTTATTTTGTCGTAGATAGCCCTTGTCGATGCGAGATATCCACTTAGAGTGATGTCATAAAGAGGATTTATGAGCTGCCAACCCAAGTGAGGCACTTCAGGAGCAAATCGATAAGCACACTCATTTCATCCAAAACTAGCTAATGGCCAGCAAAGTAAATACCAATGTCACTTCTTCAATTCATACCTTCATTTGTATGACTAACACTTCCTTCTTAATCATTACATGATCCTTCCAGAAGAAAATTCTCTCAAGGTCAACGACGACGTCAATAAGGCAATTGACACTTCTGCTGCCAAGGAGTTAAAGACGTTCACTGCTGCTTATAAAGAGCAAATGGACCATTTAGAGAGGGCTAATAGGGGACTATCCCGGAACAGAGCCGGTCCTGAGATTTTGAGTGTCTTGTGCGATATTTTAAAATGGTGCCCTCTTTAAGTAACTAAAACATATTTTCAAAAAAATATATTTCAATAATATTATTTCATTGCAAAAATATGAATTTTTTTTTTAATATTTTTATTTTGCTATACATGAATAAGAAAAATATAAATAAAGCTCAAGAGCATCTCTCGAACTTCATCAAAATTCATATGTCATCAACAAAGAACCATCCAAACCACTAGCCACTTCGTGCAATTCCATATAAGCAAACTTTGAAAAAAAATTATATATCAAGTATAAAGCTTGAAATGCAACAAATCATGTAAAAATATTTCTGCTCGCATTTTTAGAAGTAAACTTACTAATTAACCTTCGTAATCAATATTTTCTAGAAAGTCTTGCTCAATATTTTTTAGGTGTTCAACTTTTCTGGAGAAAAATTATGTCGTGCTTCCTTGATTCTCAGTCTTCGTGTTCAAGCAAAGTGAATTTACATTTTAACAAATTTTTACAAAGCAAATTCAAATCAGTGAAATCACGAATGAGATTGACGAAAAGATAATAAAGAAAATATAACACGTAATTCAGATTTTCAGTGAGTGTTCAATGAAAAATATGAATCGTCAATTGTCGCTTAAGGAAAAGAGAGAATTTTTTGGAACCATATCAAAGATGATTGGAGAAAAAGACGATTTCTCCAAAAAGACGGTTGGTTTCTCTCTTTTTTGCCTCAATTATCTTTTAGGCAATTGGAAAATACGATTGGTTTCTTTAATTATTTTCTCCAAATAGACGATTTCTCCAAAAAGACAGTTGGTTTCTCTCTTTTTTGCCTCAATTATCTTTTAGGCAATTGGAAAAAACGATTGGTTTCTTTAATTATTTTCTCCAAAAAGACGATTGGAAAAGGCGGTTGCTCAATTTTTCTTTCTTCTCTCAGTTTTCTGGCCGACCTAATCTCTTTTCGACTTTTTCCTTTTTTCTCACATTATTTAAGGTAGGAATACTATTTAAGAATATTATATTCAAGGAAATTATAATTAGTTAGTCACATTATTCTTGATTTTAATATCTTACGCATAATAATAAAAATTTTATATTTCAAATATTTAATTATAAATAAATATACAACTATAACAAAACTTTTTTTGGTGCTCCTACAATTTTGAGGCTATGTGCGGTTGCTCAACTCACGAACCCTCAGGGCCATCCCAGTCCCTGAAGAGCAGGTGCCTCAGCTGCAGATACAGGCAAGAAAAAGGATGACAACTGAGGCGCTTGGGGCTCCACTGCTATTGAGGTCATTGTCGCTGCTACTCTCGTCCCCAGTGCCATCCCCATATCCTAGGTTACACTTATTGAGGATGAGGTGGAATTGAGACCTGGATATACACGCTAGGTAAGAAATGTTGGCCTGTCAAAGTTGAAGTGATAAACAAATAAATTTTGTGGACTCCAACTTCGAGGTCTTGCCTGAAATGGTAGTAGAAATGCTGCCTTTCGAAGTGGCAACTGTCGTCAACAAGTTTTGGACTGAAAAATAAGTCGACCGCGTCTCTTATTGCAAGACCAACAAAATCTCCTAGAGGCAGATGTGACCAATAACGTCGATCCCTAGTAGTTAGCTTATTCAATTTAAAATGCTACATATTTCACTGCTTTTACTTTTTAAACTATTCAAATCATATTTGAATTGATAGGGTACTGACGTATAAAAAATTATTTTAAACAAAATATGAGGAAAAATTAGATTTCTTTTTTTTGAAAAAAAAGGAAATTGAATAGTCAAAGTAAAGAGCATTTTATAAAAAAATTTACTCTATAAATTTAAATTATCTACATAATGCATAAGATGCACTTTATAAGTAGAAAATCAATATTTAAAAATAAGCTCCAATAGACTATGTGATGATTAGCATTGTAGGAGTGTATAAAACACTTTTATTTTTAAATTTAAGGATGTTTTCTATATGGATAATGTGTTCTTTATATCATTTAATGTGTTATATATTTCAATTCTCTATTTCTTACATCACTCAACCTGTTTAGTCCTACCAATGCCTACATTGGTGCAAATAATGCTTTCACTATGTCAATTTTCTATGATTGGTGTAATTTAATTAATGATTATTTGTCATCTCAGTTGATAATTAAGATCAACAAGAATGTAAGCTTCTCACTCTTTTGCACAACATACATGTTATTAGCCTTTCGGAGAATAGTTAGAACCATCAGAAGTTGTGGGGAACAAGTTGTATATTACATTGAGTAATGGATATATCTTCTTCTCAATTGCAAAAAACATATCGAGATACTTCATTGACATGTGCAATATCAATTTGCCCCTCCAATACATCACCCTTTGAATTCCATTTTTCACGAGGCAAATTCTTGTGAACACACCATTGCATAGAGTCCAACTATCGCATCATTAGATCAGTAAGCTCAAGTTTGATTGCCTATTAGAAAACTCCTTGTAGTTTCGATGGTTTCAGCTAAATGATTAACGAATTTCATCTGATGTAGAACTTATTGTCAAATGGATGTGAGAAAATTTGGATCAAAATGGGGAAAAAGTAATATTGCAAAGAGAACATTCAAATGATGACATAATACCATTCCAAAAAGAGGACGACAAGATAAGTAATATTCATCGCTATGCCATGACATAAGATGGATTTTTGTCATTCGAATTCGTTTAGGACTCGAAAATTAATTTTTAAAGTTTTAATGCTATATTTTTCATTTAGTTTATTCTAGATTTTTTATTATTATTATTTTTTTCAATTTTAGTTTGTATAAATTTTGTTTTCATTAATTTTAGTCATCTTAAGCTAGATTTCCATGCAAATCCTTATAAATAAGGGTTAATTAGTTGTTTTGTTCATCTTTTCATCAATAAAATTTTGTGAGTTTATTCATTCATAATTTGGTGGATTTCCAATTTTTGGTTCTTAAGGTGTTCACTTGAATTCCTCGTCTTGCACTGCGTCCTCATCTTACAAGGATATGATTCAAAATCGTTACATCCCGATTCTCAAGCTATCGAGATCGATTTCAATCTAATCTTCTACTAGATTTTTGGGGAGAAAGTATGCTAACTGTTATCTATCTTGTCAATCACTTCACTGCCTACACCTCTTCTTTATGGAAAAAGGCCATTGTAAACCTTTACAATCGACCAACATATAGCCATTTACGTGTATTCGATTGCTTATATTTTGCAACCTACATCATCCCTACACACAAATTGACCAACGAGCATGTAAATGCATATTTATTGGGTATTCTCTTGGCCAAAAGAGATACAAAGTGTATGATTTGGAACTAAGAAAATCGCCACAAGTCGTGACATTATTTTCCATGAGCACATTTTCCCTTCTCAACAGTGCAACAAAATCATGAA